ATATATGTATATGTATGTATGTGTGCATGTGTGTATATACACAAATAAAAAGCAAAACAGAAGACATAGGGAATAGAAAGAAACTTAAATATTTCACCAAATTACCTATTTTTGTTGTTTCAAAATTTATTTATTTATTTATTTTTATTTTTATTTTTGGCAGAACTGGGGATTAAACTCAGGTTCTTGTGCTTGCCAGGCAAGCACTTATTCTACTGAACCATCTCCCCAGCCCCTCAAAATATCTTAATACACATGCTCATTTGTCTCATCTATACTCCAATTCTTTTTAGATTGTTGAAAAGGAAGTTTTGTGTTCCAGCTAGGTGTGGTGTATGCTTATAATTGATAGGTTGTTGACAGGGTCGCAGCAGAAAAATAGGCAGAAGGAAAGAGGAAAAGGGGCTTTATTATCTTTGAGGACATGAAGAGAATCTGGGGAAGGTGAGGAATTCTCTGAATAGCAACAAAGGAAGGCTGGGGCTTTTAAGGCCTTTTGCAGGGGTGGGATTTGAGAGGGACGTTTAGATATACCCCAGGAGCTGAGTGGGGCCTTCCCTGAGGGGGCGGGAAAAGTGAAAGGAAAGTGCACCCTGGGCTGAGCTGGAGAAGAAGGGGGAGGTGGTCTGGGGAAGATAAGCAGTTGTTTTAAGGGCTTCAGCCCTATTAGATGACCACCATAATGATTCAGCAATTCATATTAGGGCCAGAACCTATCAGTAATCCCAGCAGCAGGTTGAGGCAGGAGGACTGCCATGAGTTTGAGGCCAGCCTAAACTACACAGTGAGACCCTGTCTCAAAAAAAGTGTATCATTTGTATTAGTGTGTGTGTGTGTGTGTGTGTGTAAGAATGGGAAAATCATCAACAACTGATGGGTTCTTATGAAACTGTTCTAATTTTACTGTTACACACTTAAGTACTACAGGAATATCAATAAAAATTATTTTCTGCTTTTGTTACTTTCAATCCTGTTAAAACAAAAAATTATACCTTTCTCTAGTTTTATAGAGACTATTTTGCTAGCATTTATAAAATAATCAGGGGGCGGGGGAGATGGCTTAGTAGAATAAGCACTTGCCTAGCAAGGACAAGGGCCTGAGTTCAATCCTTGGTTCCACAAAAAAAAAAAAATTAACGGTTTTTATTTATTTATTTATTTTTTACATTTATTTATTGTGTGTGTGTGTGGCCAGCTCAGCGCACCAGGGGGCAGGGCTGACTGGCATGTGGTGCTGGGGGATCGAACCGCGGTCCCTGTGCTTTGCTAAGCTTGTTCCAAGTAGGTGCTTTAGACCACTGAGCCATCTCTCCAGCCCAAATTAACGCTTTCTTTGGGGTTTAGGAGATGGTTCAGTGGAATAAGCACTTCCCCGGCAAGCTCAAGGGCCTGAGTTCAATCCCCGGTTCAAAAAAAAAAAAAAAAAAAAAGTATAAAATAATCAAATTCTTCATAATATATTATAATTTTTTATAGAAAAATCATACCTAGTTTATTTTTATAAACTTCATAAACTTTTTATATTTTTCAGAAGCTAATCAGGAATACTCTGTTGTTAGAAACACCCATTAATAACTCTATGAATATAATTGTTCCATAGCCTTATCATATTTTTATGTCATTTCATAGTCCCTGACAATTACAGTCTATACCAAAATGCAATGAATGCTACCTCCTACCACTACATTGATCAGAAACTATTATAGAACAATTTGCCACCCAAGACTCCTTCAAAAGAAAGAATTTACATTTGATCATTCATTTATTTATTTATTTATTTATTTATTTATTTATTTGGTACAAACTCTCACTATGCAGCAGCTCAGATTCCTAGTGAGCATGAGGTACTGGGAATCGAATTCAGGTCCTTGAGCTTGCCAGGCAGGTGCTTAGACCACAGAGTTAGCTCTTCAGCCCAACAATTTACATTTTGGATTCAATTAGTTGTATTAATGTTCTCTTCATTTCTTCCTAATAAGCACTTAATGTGAATTCCCAGCCACCAAATACTAACATCCACAAAAACTAGATGTGCCTTAAACTAGCTTCAGCATATTCTATGGAATTCAAGTTTAATAGTAACTAGTAGTCACTGGAAAACCTACTTTAAAATCCTTCAGGAGTTCAAAATCACTACTTATTAGAACTTTTAAGACATTAATAGCTCTTTTCAATCTTTAACCAAAGAATATTTAGAGGAGGGTATGGTTCCTAAAAATCTAACTATGTCCTCTAGTTTTCTAGTATTACCAGCATAATAAAGAAAGCTCAAATTTAGTTGATTTTCATTTACTATTTCCATTTCCTGTTTACATTTACAGAAAGAATTATGTAGGGTCATTTGTTTTGTCTTTTTTTTTTGTCTTTTTGAGATAGGGTCTCACCATGCTGTTCAGGCTAGCCTTGAGCTCACTTTGTAGCCCAGACTGGCCTCAAACTTGGCTTCCTTTTCAGCCCTCCAAAATGTAAACATACATACAGGGATTCTATCTGACCCTTTCATGAGGTATTAGAACTTTTCCACTTGGAAACAGGACAGTAAAAGAAAGCTGGGCTGTTTTTAAGTTAGCGTTCTCCATCCTGTGCTGACAACTTCCAATTCATGCTTCCCCAAGGGGCAAAACAAGAGCTATAGGCAGTGTTTTGCAAATAAAAGGCAACACTAATTGTTGAAAAGCTGAGTACATTTTTATCTTTCTTAGTATTCTCCCTAATTCCATTTGACTTCAATGGGTCTCTAGATAAAATTTAACAAGTCAGGTGCAGTGGTGCACACCTGTGATCCTTACTGGCAGCCTAAGGCAATTTTGAGCTGCAACTAGGCAACTTAGCCAGAGTGAAATTTTGTCTTTAAAAAAAAAAAAAGTTTTAAAAGGGCTGAGGATCTAGCTCAGGGCAAAAACTCTGGATTCAATCTCCAGTATTGGGGAGGAAAAATTAATATTAGTATTTTTTTAAAGAATTCTGGCTGTACATTGTGGCACATTCCTATAATCCCAACATTCAGGAAGCTGATGCAAGATCACCTCAAGCTTTAGGTCAACCTGGACTACATATTGAGTAGACTCATGAAGAGAGACCTTTTCTCAAAAACCAAAAAGAACAAACAAAATAAACAAATTCTGGGTCATTGCCAGACCAATAAAACTATGACCTAAATATAATTTTTCCCTCCAACTAAATGCAATTTTTTGGTAAAACCACTTATATCTTTTTTAAACTAGTTTATGTTTTCAAAAATTCATATTTAGAGTCTAAAATATAATATATCTTAATTGGAGAAAAATTAAGACAATATGGAAGGCCGGCCAGAGAGCTCAGCCTGCAGTGATGGCCTCGGCCCTGGGGCACACTGAGACAGTGACTGAGACTGGGTGTGGTGGCAGTAATCACAGTGCTTGGGAAGCTGAAAACTGGAGAATCACTGCAAGTCTGATCTGTGTAGTGAGACCTTATAAACCCTGTAGACCCAGCACTAAAAAAAAAAGACAATATGGAAAAGACAAAGAAAACAA